CCCGGCACCGGCGTGGCCCCCGGCAGCGGCGGCGCCCCGATGGCGGCGGCGGCGGCGGGGGCCGCGCTCCTCACGCACTCCGCCTTCTGGGACCCCACGGTCAGCGGCGACTGGGACAGCGAGCGGCCCAGCCCGGCCTGCCTGCTGCGGATCAAACGGTGAGCGGAGCGGCGGCGGCGGCGGCGCGGGGCCCGGGCACGGAGCGCGGCGCGGGCGTTCGGCTCGGCCCCGCGGCCGGTAACGGGCCCTGCCGGCGTCCCGGGACACGCACGGGGACAGCGCCGGGCCCTGCCGGCGTCCCGGGACACGCACGGGGACAGCGCCGGTCCTTCCCGGTGTCCCGGGACACGCACGGGGACAGCGCCGGTCCTTCCCGGTGTCCCGGGACACGCACGGGGACAGCGCCGGTCCTTCCCGGTGTCCCGGGGCTCTCCCGGGCTCAGCCCCGGTGCCCTGGAGGGTCCCGGACAGGTTTGGGTTGGGAGGGTCCTTGGGCAGGGACCCTTCGCTGTGTCCCAGGGAATTCCTGCCGGGATCCCCTGGAATTCCCAGCCCGGATCCCCTGGAATTCCTGCCGGGATCCCCTGGAATTCCTGCCGGGATCCCCTGGAATTCTCAGCCTGGATCCCCTGGAGTTCCTGCCCGGGATCCCCTGGAATTCGTGCCGGGATCTCCTGGAATTCCTGCCGGGATCCCCTGGAATTCCCAGCCCGGATCCCCTGGAATTCCCAGCCGGGATCTCCTGGAATTCCCAGCCGGGATCCCCTGGAATTCCCAGCCGTGATCCCCTGGAATTCCTGCCTGGATCCCCTGGAATTCCCAGCCCGGATCTCCTGGAATTCCTGCCAGGATCCCCTGGAATTCCTGCCGGGATCCCCTGCCCAGGTTGGGGTCAGGAGCGTTCCCCTCCTGTGGGGACGAGCAGCCGGGGGAATTCACGGCAGGAATTTCGTGGGATTTTCATTTTTATTGGCGTTCCTGGTGCTGGAGGTGGGGAAATTCTGGGGGAAATTCCTGGGGGGATTTCAGGGGGGATTCCCAAGGATTCCAGGGGGAATTCCAGCCAGGATTCCTGAGAATTCCAGTCCAGGGGGGATTCCTGATTCCTGAGAATTGCAGCCCCGATTCCCGAGGATTCCAGGTGGGATTCCTGAGAATTCCAGCCAGGATTCCAGGGGGGATTCCTGAGAATTCCAGCCAGAATTCCAGGGGGGATTCCTGAGAATTCCAGCCAGGATTCCAGGGGGGATTCCTGAGAATTCCAGCCAGGATTCCAGGGGGGATTCCTGAGAATTGCAGCTCCGATTCCCGAGGATTCCAGGGGGGATTCCTGAGAATTCCAGCCCCGATTCCCGAGGATTCCAGGGGGGATTCCTGAGAATTCCAGCCCCGATTCCCGAGGATTCCGGGCGTGCTCTGGAGTTCCTGGGCTGCTGGAGGGGCTCACGCAGAGCCGGGCCCAAACCTCCCGGATCCCGGCTTAAATCCCGTCCCCCGCCGCCCCCCGGGCCGATCCCGGCTCATTCCCGTTCTTTCCCTTCTTTTCCAGGGATATCATGTCCATCTACAAGGAGCCGCCCCCGGGGATGTTCGTGGTGCCTGACCCCCACGACATGACCAAGGTGAGCAGCTTGGGGTTCCCAAATCCCGGCTCTGGGGGCGTTCCCGGCTGGAATATCCCCTCAGTGCCCTGGGAACAGCAGCTTGGGGTCCCCCTGTCCCCAAATCCCGGCTCTGGGAGCATTCCCGGCTGGAATATCCCCTGAGTGCCCTGGGAACAGCAAGGCTCTGGCTTCCCTGGGAATGCTGGAGGGTTTGGGAATGCTGGAGCCATGGAGGGTTTGGGAATGCCGAAGAGTTCGGGAATGCCGGAGGGTTTGGGAATGCTGGAGCTGTGCAGGGTCTGGAACGCCGCAGGGTCGGGAACGCCGCAGGGTCGGGAACGCCGCAGGGTCGGGAACGCCGCAGGGTCGGGAACGCCGCAGGGTCGGGAACGCCGCAGGGTCGGGAACGCCGCAGGGTCGGGAACGCCGCAGGGTCGGGAACGCCGCAGGGTCGGGAACGCCGCAGGGTCGGGAACGCCGCAGGGTCGGGAACGCCGCAGGGTCGGGAACGCCGCAGGGTCGGGAACGCCGCAGGGTCGGGAACGCCGCAGGGTCGGGAACGCCGCAGGGTCGGGAACGCCGCAGGGTCGGGAACGCCGCAGGGTCGGGAACGCCGCAGGGTCGGGAACGCCGCAGGGTCGGGAACGCCGCAGGGTCGGGAACGCCGCAGGGTCGGGAACGCCGCAGGGTCTGGGAACGCCGCAGGGTTTGGGATGCTGGAGGGTTTGGGAATGCTGGAGCTGTGCAGGGTCTGGAACGCCGCAGGGTCGGGAACGCGGCGGGCTCGCTGTCCCCGCAGATCCACGCGCTGATCACGGGCCCGTTCGACACCCCCTACGAGGGCGGCTTCTTCCTGTTCCTGTTCCGCTGCCCCCCGGACTACCCCATCCACCCGCCCCGCGTCAAGCTCATGACCACGGGCAACAACACCGTGCGCTTCAACCCCAACTTCTACCGCAACGGCAAGGTCTGCCTCAGCATCCTGGGGTAAGCCGGGCCTGGGGTCTGCCTCAGCATCCTGGGGTAAGCCGGGCCTGGGGTCTGCCTGAGCATCCTGGGGTCTGCCTCAGCACCCTGGGGTAAGCCTGGCCTAGGGTCTGCCTCAGCACCCTGGGGTCTGCCTGAGCACCCTGGGGTAAGCTGGGCTTAGGGTCTGCCTGAGCACCCTGTGTAAGCCGGGCCTGGGGTAAGGCTGGGGCCAGCTGAGCTGGACAGAAGGACAGGACAGGACAGTTCAGGCTGTGCCAGGGGAGGTTTGGGGCCAGGGGAGGTCCCCAGGTCAGGCCCAGGTCAGGGCCAGGCCCAGCTGTGCAGCCCAGGATTTTGGGCTCTGCTGTGGGGGGACGGTGCTGCTGGTTAATTAATGAGTTCGTTAATTGGTGTGTGCGTGCCCTGCTGGCCCAGCACGTGGACAGGCCCGGCCTGGAGCCCGGCGCAGAGCATCTCGTCAGTGCTGATCTCCATCCAGTCCCTGATGACCGAGAACCCGTACCACAACGAGCCCGGCTTCGAGCAGGTGAGAGCCCGGCTGGGAGGGACTGGGGACTGAGCTGGGAGGGACTGGGGACTGAGCTGGGAGGGACTGGGGACTGAGCTGGGAGGGACTGGGGACTGAGCTGGGAGGGACTGGGATCACAGCTGGGAGGGACTGGGAACTGAGCTGGGAGAGACTGGGAACTGAGCTGGGAGGGACTGGGATCACAGCTGGGAG